CAGACTCAGACTCTGCTTCTAGCCAGAAAAGGCCGTAAGCAACAAATCCATCAGCGGAGGAAAAAAAAAGGAAAGAAGAACAGAAGAGCAGCCTAAAATGCAACCCAAAACCGAAGAGAACGAACCCAGCAAGTTAAAAATAAATTCAGCTCACCTTTTAGCAAGCCAGACAACCAGCCACGTCAGACAGATGTTTCCTCGCTAGGCTGTTTTGTACCACCATGTACCCCAAGGGATGGTTTTTCTCCATCGGATGATACTCCGTATGTGCTAAAAGCTCTGAATTAGCAAGAGAGTTGCCTTTAGTTCCTTTACACAGATCCATTGATCCTAGATTACACTTATTGTCAACACCGTCGAAGGAGAGCCGTGTTAGTCTTTGGTTCAAAACACCAGGAGGAGTGCATGGCAGCACCTTTCGTGTCTAACAAATGTTCTTAAAAGGTTGCCGTTGCAACTCACTTCATCAGATGCAATGAAGTGGCTAGACTGATGGAGGGTTTAGGGTTTAGGTAGCAGGGCAAGGAGGGGAAGGCAGGTTGGTTATGTAGATACAGATGACACGTGAGCTGAAGCTCATGAAAGCTTTGCCTTTTAATAAAACATGTTAGTCAGAAAAGGGGCTTCTAGACTCCCCCTCTTATATCAGTGGATGCTTGTTTTTCTTTTGGTTTTAGGGCCAGAAAGAACAAAAAATGAAAGAAGGAGGACTGTTTTTCAACACACTCCATGGGAAGCTACTTGGAAATAATAGTTGTGTCAGCTGCGTCTGTTATTTTCCCAGCGAGTGTTTTGCAGCCGAGCGATTGAAAATTAAGGTTATCGAAGGGAAGATGTTTCCTTCAGACTGACTTCATGGGAAGCCCACGCGTTCCAGCAGATGGGTGAGCCCTGAATCTTAGCTGAGCAGGCCAGTGCTAAAAGATTTTGCGAAAGGAACTTTGGGGATCATTCTTTCATTCCACTTAACCTTTCCTTTGTTAGCATTTTACCCCAGGGCGCATAGCCTGAAGTCCTCAAAACCCTGAGATGTCCAGAACCCTTCCAAAACTGCCACCAAATATAATTTTTAAAGTATGACCCATCCCATGGGGATGAATCACGTCATGTCTTTCACCATCGAAATGATTTGCAGTTCCTTGTAAACATACATTAAATTGATGGTCCATTTTATGAATTGCAGCCTCTTCCTGCAGACCATAAAAGGACAGGTTTCTCTCCAAATGCACTCGACTCCTAGTAATGCTGCAGATTGATAAAAATGGTGTAGTTGTGACTCATCATTGTTTTCTGATCTATTTCATCTCTAAATTAAGGTTTTTTGGAAGAAATAAATGTTTCCACATGGTTGGGCAATGCAGCCTTGTTTTTGTGATAGATAGATAGATAGATAGATAGATAGATAGATAGATAGATAGATAGATAGAT